TCCATCGCTGGTGCTGATCTAGAATAAAAGGTATTTTAAATTTAAATTGAAAATGAAATGTAATCATTTTACAAAAACGTGCACAATGTTGTCGATTTAGTTTTAGATGCTTTCTTCAGTGATTTCTTCTAAAATGTGCTTATTTTGATGAGCCAGCTTAAGTGTTAGCATTTGCGTCGAGTGTCTATTTACGTCGTGCACTTGACTGACTGATACTGACTGAGCCGCAAGTGAGGAGCACTAGTCAGGCCGGTTTTGGCAATGTCGATTGCAGTGGATAAAAGTGTCTTAACTAAAAAGAAAAAGACAAGATAGAGATAGAGAGTGCAACGAAAATCAAGTGAAAAAACTGACAAGCAAAAACAAAGTTCAAAATGACAGTAAAAGTGCTTTTTCTTGTCTGTTGCAAGAGCGTGCACTATTTACAAGGTATCATTTTTTAGTTGATGATTTGTTGTACAAAATTAATCGACAGTAGCCGCATCATTGCAGTCAGTGTTGCGTTTAATTTTTAGTAGAAAAATATTCAGTGCTGCTGATAATGTCACAATCTGCAAATTGCAAAAAACACTTGTTTTTGTTTTGAAAAATAGCAAAAATTTTATTTTATTTGAAACCGATTAAAAAATAATAAAATTTTATTTGTTTTTTTTGGTTGAGTAGCGGCCACCAGGCCGTTTATTTAACTTTTTGTATTTTAAATGTTTTATAAAAAATAAATTTGTTTTTTATATTGCAATTTAATGAATTGGAAAAATAACCTAGATTTCAACATATTCTTCAATTCAACTATTGACAATTGTTACCAGCGACAACGACGGTTTTGCCAAACACTTTTTAAAACTTCCCCAAAGCAGTTATCAACAACATATAAACAAAAACATAAACAGTCTTGTCAGTTGTTGTAATTGTCTTCAGTCAAACAAACAGTTGTGATGATGATGATTCATTAAAGGAAACATGTATCCCAATAATAAGTGTTGTTGTGCCTGCTGGCTTCCCTTCCCTTCCCTCTTTTCAACTTGCACAAGGAAGCTGAAATCAGAAAAGCGCAATATGAAAGCAGTTTTGACCCATCAACTAGCCTTGGCAAATGAACTTGACTGCAGGATAAGATTTGACTAAAAGGCTACAGATAAAAATAAACGTCTCAAAATTAAAGATAGTGTTACAAAAGTGCTGAAAAAGTGAGAGGAAAACTGTAATGTCACCTTTTTTGAGTCTCATTATCTGCTTAATCTGAAAAGCAATAACAATCGATCAGCTGCTGCTGCTGCTGCAACGGCAGCTGTGCCAATAAACAACAAATCAATCGTCCAGACGAGTTTGCTCATCAGACGAATGCTTCCCTCAGCTAACATGCAAATGCAGGCAGCGGTTTTCGGCTTTGAATGGAGAACTGAAAACTCGCCGATTACGATTAATGGCAATTAAATTGGCGGACTCTTAACCATGTAATCACATGCACACAGAGGCAATGTTGCTATCATGCTATCTGCAAGCGTCTAAAGTGCTGACACGGTAGAGGTTGCTGAAGGAAGCTGAAGGAAGCCTTTTTTGCCAGTGCACACTGCCACCACCACAGAATGAACATTGCAACTCTTGAGATAATGCCCATTGACTGTCAGTGTGTGTGTGTTGTGGCTTGGCTTGTCTTCTTTAGCCTTTCACTGGTTGCCTGCCGACTCTGATTCACTGGTTTGCCATTTGCACTGAACAGCAACAGCAGCAACAGCAGATACACGCACACTCACACACTCACGCGAACAGACAGAAATATTGAAGCGAGTATTCAGTATTGAATATCTGATTTCAGCATTACATAATTGCTACAAAAGGGGCAAACTTTGAGTACCTGACCAGTCAGTGTTCATCTGCAGCTCCGCGATAGAGGAGCGTGTCAGCAGTGTGCTGATGATTATGAACTCTTTAAACATGGCCAAACCACTTTACTGGTGTTTTCTTCTTGTTTTTCTCCTCTTTTCAGTCTTTCTTTCAGAAAATCAACTGGTGCGCTCAGATGATAATGTAGACGAGCCGTTTCAGGAAAGCGACGATGACAATCTGCTTACCAAAATCAAGTGCAAGGTAAAGTGTGATGACTTTTGTGCGTTAAAGATAAATTTCTTTAGCCCTATTTTTTATTTTATCAGATTGGCGACAAGTACGAGTACGTAATGGCCACGCAGAGCAGCCTGATGGAGAAAAATGACGCCAACTTGCTGATCAAGACTAAACTGGAGGTGAAGTGTATAGAGAAGAAGATGTGGCTCAATGAAAGCAGTGGCCAGCTGAAAAATGGGCAGCTTCTAGAGGCTCGCATTACGGCAATAATGCCCATGCACCTAAGTCCGGCAGACAACCAGGCGGAAACGGTGACCATCAAAAATGGACGCATTCAAATGGCCGCTCTCTTTGCCTCTCTTGAGCAGATGCCCGATTCAACATTCAACAAATCTTTTTCAGGCAGCACAAACGGCAACAAGCATCCAAAGCAGCCAAACCTAAAAGTGGGCGCCGTGAATCAGTTCTTCACTGACTTTGCCAAGTCATTTGGCGAGCTGGTCAGTCAGCTTTTAAAAAAACTGGTCAAATTCTTTGAAAACCTTCTAAAGAGGAGCAAGTCAGGCAATGCAGTGCGTTCAAATGGCGGCGGCATCAGCTGGAAGTGTCGCAGCGGCCAAACAGTAACTGAAGCAAACGGTCGAAGTGGGCGACAAAAACGCCACCACCAAAGCTTCAAGTCCATCAACTTTGCGCAGTTTCACGGCCAATTTGCGGAGCTGTTCAAGCACCCCTTTAGCTTTATTCAACTGGAGGAGGGCTCAGTGCAGAGTGTTCAGCTGTCGCCTGCGGAACGGAATCCCATGGTGATGCACTTTAAACGCTTTCTCGCGCAGGCCTTCTCCACCAACCTCAATCGCCGCAGCAAGGTGCTGAAGGAGTCGAGCAGTCTGGGCAGCCACCTATCTCACTATCAGATCGAGTACGACGAGGTGGACGGAGCCAAGGTCACTCCAGAGCAGTACATGGCCGACGCAGTGGGAGGAGGAGGACGAGCTGCCAAGAGGGCCAAGAGACAGACCGCTGACACGCCCCACCTCGTCTCGGTGCTGCGAGTCGTTCGCCAGGAGGACATTCTGCTGGAGGAGCCCTCGGGTAAGGAGCGGAATCAGTACCTGCACCGGAAAGCGATGCGCCTCGCCGATGTGCCCTTCAGCGCCCAGCAGGTGCAGCTGGTCGACCGGAACATCATCGTCGCCAGCGGGGGGTACTTTCACTCGGTGCTGCCGGTCAACCTGAAGAATGACGCCGGAAGTGGAGGTGGTGGTGGTGGTGGGCTGCAGAGAAAGGCTCGATCAACTGACAGCAACAGCAACAGCGGCAACAACAAAGCAAATCAGACGTCAGAGGAGTTTGATGACGTGCTCAGTCAGTTCATGACCTTGAGTTTGGAGTACTCAATGGTGGTAAGTGTGGAAAAACAAGAGACTAACTTTACAATGAAGGTAAACTTTGTGTTTCATTGTAGAGAGTAACTAAAAATCGTTGGCGTAGATCGGTGGATAGCCAGCTTGAGGGCCATCCCAGCACTACTTACAACCAAACGAAAATCAATGGTGCTATCGCCAACTACATGAACAAGTTTAAAATCAATGCAAAGTCGCTCACCTCAAACACCGCTTCAAGTTTGTATCGACGCAAAAGAGATGCAACGGCGGAAAATGGTGACGGCGGCCTTGCTGATAGCAACGTCGTTTGCAATTTAGTTCCAGACAGTGTCGGACGGTTTGGGGACGGCAGTCGAACAGCAAATGACCAGCGAGAGGACCTCAATGTAATCAAGGATCACCTGGAACGGGAAAACCAGCTGAAGGAGTGCTATGAGTACAAGGAGTTTGGCTCCGGTTGGTTGAAGGCTTTCTACAACCGCTCCATACTCACTGGAGCGCGACGAGGAAAGTCGCTGGATAACTTCTCAACCAAGTACCGACTGGGAGCGCAAATGATGGGCGAAAATCTGTTCATGGGCCAGATTGACATTTCCCGGAACAATGACGCCTCCAAGCTGCGCATCAACCTTTTTGGCTCCGAGTACCTTGACCTGAATCTGTGCGACATTCGCGACAAGGTTTTCCAGCAGGCAAATCAGATACCGCTCTTTGCGGAGAACATTTGGTTCATGACAAATGTAGCCATCAATATCAAGTATGACCTGCAGTTTAAACTTCAAGTGCCCAGCATTGTTTGTGAAAATGGCACTGCCAAGGAGGCAGTCAACAATAACGTCATTCTATCGCGCATGATTCAGGATGAGTTTAATCTAAATCAAAACACTAAAATCGATCTTGGTGGCGCTTTTGAGGCTTCATTTTTGGTAAGCTTTTTAAAGTTTAAAGGCACAAACAGTAAATTTTTTGTTATTTTTGGCAGATTTTTAACGGAGAAATGAAACTAAATGGTAAACTTTGGCAAAGTTATTCTATAACAATCTGCTCAAACATTTTCTAACTTTTCAGGCAACTTTGACATGGAGTCAAACACTGACTTTAGCCAATCCTGTCTTTCTGCGCGCAGCATTGTTCGTCCAATGAACGTATCGCTTGACTTTAACTACAAGGTTAATTATATAAATCACAAATGTTCTTGATGAAAACTAATTCGCAACGTTTCCATTTTAGTTTTTTCATCCACTGTGCGGTGAATGGCAAGAAGATAGCTGGATACCCAAGCAACTCGCGTGGAATTTAAACAAACCATACAGAAGTTCTTGGTTTAATAACGTTTGTGTTTAAACTCAATCTTTAACTCAAATCAATTCACCTGACATGTGAATATTTAAAGTTAAACTATACAAGTTCAATTTAAAACGTCATGTTTTTTAAAGATACCCTAAATTTAAATTTTAACACTTAAAAATTTTAATTATTTTTGTTATCTAAAAAACAAACCAACAAAACAACATCTTTAAAATATAACACAATCAGTTTGTGTTCATTTTATTGATTGCTTGAACGTGGGTCTTGAATGACGCCAGCAAAAAGTGTCATTGTTTTTCCGTTATCATCACCAGCGTTTGTGTCACTGATGAAAAACAAAAACGGACGGTTGTATGCCAGATCAATCGATGGTGGCGTTGGAAAAACTCCAACATCTTCACCTAAATCTCCTTCATTACTATTGATTGCTGCAAAACTCGGTGGAACAGCAACATCACCACCGGAGCCAGCAACACCTGATGCTGACTTGTCATCCCACTGCAAGGTCGCACGGTGAAGAATGTCGTTTAGGTTTAAGTTTGTCTGCCCATCAATGCCACTAAAGTCAGCCAGACCAATTTCAAAAGCATCCAAAATGCCAAGTTTTTGCAAATCACCTTTTAGCGACTCTCCGTGAATCTTTGAGCTTGCATCTGTAGTATTGTACAGTTTAGGAAACTTCATATAAGTGAAAATTGGCGTCAACTGGGCAATTCGTTGCTCGACTGGAACTGAAGCAAAAAGGTTGCTAAAAGTCGAAGCAGTGGAGAGTTTCTTTTGATCTGGCAAAAAGGCATACAAGTTAAGACCATTATCACGAAAAGGAATCTCTATCAGTTGGCCATCGTCAAATTGTGAATAGTTAAGAATACCGGCAAAGTTCATCATTTCCACTTTTACCATTTCTCCACTAGACAGTTCAAAATCTTCTAAATGAACAGAATCGGGCAAAATGGGCCAGTACCAGGTGCCGTGGAGGTACTCTCCATTTGCAACAACCATCTTTGTTAGAATAGAAAAATAATCGGTGTAAAACTGCTTCAAAACAGCATCTGTGTTGTTGTACAGCCACTTATTGATGTCATCTGTGACCCAAATATTGACAAACGTGTGAAAATTTTCAAGACGTTTTTCAACCAAAAATTGACTTTGAAGCAGTTTCAGATAAGCAGGTGTAGGAGTAAACTGCTGACTATTGTAGTACTGAATAGCCAGTAAGTTGAATGAGTCGGCGTAATCGACTGCACCTTGAAAACCTGGCCGATTTTTAAAAGGAGTGCGACGGTGAACGGCTGGAGACGATCTATATTACTAAAGTTTAGTTGTGCAAAGTACATACTGTTTTGAACTTACCCAATTACTGAGTCGATTTGCTTTTTAGTTGCCCCTTTTGCTCCTGCTCGCAACATAGCAAGCACATTTCTTAATCCATTTGGACCAATAATTAAATTACTGGAAGCATGAATGCCTCCATTGTCNTTGCTTTTTAGTTGCCCCTTTTGCTCCTGCTCGCAACATAGCAAGCACATTTCTCAATCCATTTGGACCAATAATTAAATTACTGGAAGCATGAATGCCTCCATTGTGTAGTTCCATCACTTCAAGCAACGACAATCCAAATGCAATATCGTCATCAGCGCCATTTTCATTGTTCCCGTTAATTGACAAAGCAAAACTGTCAAATGCGCAAAAACTCAACAAATAAATTGTCAATAATAACATTTTAAATTGCAATTAACTAATTATTGTATGTTCAGCTTTATTTTCAAGTTATTTAAACTTTTTGAGACAATAAAAAAGTTATTTGTACAAAATTAATAAATAACAAAAAAGATAATACAAAGCACAAAGTTCTTATGACAAAAGCAAGTGTTGCAAAAAACACTCAAGATTACTTAAAACAAAACATAAAATAAACTTTAACATTACATTTATGAACAAGATAAAATGATTGCTGTTTTTACAATTGTGATTAGATTTTCGCTCACAAAGATCAAATTGTGTTCATAAATAATAGCTTAACATATGTTTAAATTGTATAAAAATAATTATGTTAAAAATTAAACGTTTTTGTTTTATTGATAAGATCAATAGGATAAAAAGGCGGATTTAAACAAATGTGCAAACATTCACATCAGTTTGTTTAACTGTAGTTCACTTTAGATTAAATTTTGTTTATCATTTAAAGTGCTACTGTTTATTTTTGCTGAAAACTCAAATGTATTTTCGGACAACTAAAGTAAGTAAAATTAGCTGATTATAATTGCAATCTAAAAACCGAGTAATCTGCATCTACAGTGTTAACTAATAAATGTACGAAATTATATAAATGACAAATTCTTAAATTAAAAACTAGTTTTGTAATTACATGATGAACGTTCTAGTGCTAACTTGCCTTATAGCCAATTTGGCACTTTTCAGCTCAGTCTGGGCAGCCAATAGCAATGCTCCTGAGCAAGTTCACATCTCTCTTGGTAGTAAGTAAAACACTATACTTTGAATAAACAAAAAAGTTATGGTTTGGCTTTTAATTTTCAGCTGACGAGACTGAGATGGTCGTGACGTGGTCCACGTTGCACCACATCACCGACAAAGGACATGTTCAGTTTGGCGAGTCGTCCAGTGCACTGTTGCACAGTGTCCCAGCTGAAGTGACCCAATTCACTGATGGTGCCCACCTGTACACTTACCGGGCACTGCTGACCGGGCTGAAGCCAGCTCACCAGTACTGTGAGTTGGTGCCACAAAAAAGCAGTTGCACTTTTAGTTTCCCTTTGACCATTGACAAGTTGGCTGATTTTTGATTTATCCTTTTTTGTAAAACAGACTACCGCGTCGGCAGTGCAGAAAGTAGCTGGTCAAAAGTGTTTCATTTTAAAACGCTGCCCTTAGGCAACAGTTGGTCGCCTCGGTTGGCCATTTACGGTGATCTAGGCTTTCAGAATGAGGAGTCGCTGCCCTTTCTGAGCAAAGACATCGAGAAGGACCTGTACGATGTCATCTTTCACATTGGAGATTTTGCCTATGATCTGAACGAGCGAAGTGGTGAACAGGGCAATGATTTTATGCGTTCGATTGAGAAAGTCGCTGCAAAAGTGCCCTACATGACCGTCCCTGGCAATCATGAGCATCACGCAAACTTTAGGTAAAGGGAAAACACTTCTTGATATAAAAAACTAACTATTTGTTCTATTAAGCCATTACGACGCACGTTTTACAATGCTCGGAGATCGAGGCCATTCTAGTCACCAAACTTCCTTAAAAAATAGGGTCAACAATCACTTTCACTCAGTGGACATTGGTCCGGCGCACGTAGTTTTGTTCAGCACTGAGTTCTACTACTACACCGAGTACGGCTGGGAGCAGATTGCCCGTCAGTATGAATGGCTAGAAGCTGACTTAAAAAAGGCTAACCAAAATCGAGCCCAGAGACCATGGCTCATTGTCATGGGACACAGGTACTAACTTTGTGTAATTTCTATGCTTTTTGAGTGAAAACCAAACCAAACAAATGTTTTACTTATAGACCACTGTACTGCATTAAAATCGGCGATGGCTCGTGCAACTACGACACTCTTGAGCGACCGGACATTCGCCAAGGTGTACACATGCACAAGAAAAAGGATTCCCCACGGCAGTACGCTCTAGAGCCGCTCTTTTACAAATACGGCGTTGGTAATACTTAAAATTTTGCTTTATTTAAAGTGTTTTAGTTATCCACTTTTTTGTTATCTTTTCTATATGATTAGATCTTCAGTTTTACGGACATGAGCACTTCTTTGGACGAATGCTTCCGATGTACAACTACACGGTGATGGGAGGGGCGGACGGCCATGACCCGTACAACGGACCACGCGCTCCAGTGCACATCACCACGGGAAGTGCTGGCAATCGAGAGCGCCATCCAAAGTTTAATTCACATCTCAAGAGCTGGGTCGCGGCTCATCATTTTGATTATGGATATACTCGACTGACATTTAAAGATAGACACCATGTAGTTCTAGAGCAGACATCTGATGATCAGGGCGGAAAAGTGCTCGACAAAGTAGACATTATCAAACACGGTGATAGGCCATTTTGGTTGTTGTAAATTATTATTTATTATGACATAAGCAGGCATTTAAAATTTTGTTTCACATGTAAAAAATGCTAACGCAAACAAAGTTAGAAAGATGCACTTATTTTGAAGTAGTAAACAAATATCTCTTTTTGCTTGATTATTTTTTATCATTTTTTTTGTAAACTTTCTGATAAGAGACCGTTACTTAATAGTGTTTGATTAGTTTTTAAGCACATTTGCACAAACATAAACTTGCCCAACATCATAAAATACCAACTAAAAATCCATTATTATCGCAACCACTTAAAATTAATTTAAAATAATTAAAGTTGAAAAGCAGTAAACACTAAAGAAAGTATATCACAACACAAATTCCATCAGTTTATCGTTGTTCATGCATCCGCCACTGTAATTGTTTATATAAAAAAGAGAATCAACTTACAAAATTTTTGTTTTCGGCATTGAAAAATGTTGATCAAAATGTCTCGCTTTATATTACTTTTCGCAATTTGCGTCAACTTGATTGTCTCAGTCGCTTTTGGTACGTAAAAAATTTCTTAAAAATTACAGTATTTACATTTTTTTGTGCTTCTTTTTCAAGGGTACGGCTGCAATCATCGAGACTACGGACATGGTGCCCATGTGTGCGTTTGCAGTGAAAAGCTGCACTGTGGTGACTTGAACTTGAAGATTTCAACCGAGTCAGGCGTGATCACCTCATACAGCACCAACAAACAGGGGGCCCGGTTCATGCATCGAGAGTATCGCTTTCTCAAAGAGCTGCCGCCAAGTCAGCACTTCAATGTCACCGTAGAGGTCAACCATGGCAGCAAGCAGCAGGCGATTGTTGGCTTTGGGGGCGCTTTTACTGACGCCGCCGGAATCAACATTGCCAAGCTGCCGGTCAATCTGCAGAAACAGCTGATCACCGACTACTACGGCAACAATGGAATTGAGTACCGACTTGGCCGCATTCCCATCGGTGGATCAGATTTCAGCACTCGAGCCTACTCATACGATGATCATGCTGAGGGGGATGAGTCCTTTAGCAAGTTTGCCCTGCAGCCAGAAGACAAACACTACAAGGTAACAAATAGTTAAATAGTTTTTAGTTTTTAAAATAATTCTAACTCATGATTTAATCCCCTCAGCTGCCGTACCTAAAAATGGCTAGTGAAGTCAGCAGTCATCCGGTATGCATTGAACATTAGTTTTTATATGATTGCAAAAAAATAACCCAGAACTTGGTTTTATTTTTAGGTGAAACTATTTGGATCAACGTGGAGTCCTCCAGGTATTTAGTTTTGATTTCGCAAAACGTAACCAACTAAAACTAAACTGTTTATTTAACTTAATGATGAATACATCATTAGCTTGGATGAAAACTAATGGAGAGTTAAACCACGGTGGCTTCTTGAAGGGAGAAATTGGCGGAAAATATTACCAATTGTTTGCAAAGTACCTCATCCGATTTGTTGATGAGTACAAAAAGCAAAACGTGTCAATGTGGGGCCTGACAATTGAAAATGAGCCGCAAATGGGCTATCGAAGTGATTATCGATTTAACAGTTTGGGTTTTAACAGTACAATGGAACGAGAGTTTGTCAAGCACAATTTAGGCCCGGAACTTGAACGCACTGGTCACAAAGACATTAAAGTGATGATCTACGATGACAACATTGTGACCAGTCAGGGAAACATTGAAGAGTTTGCCAATACGGTTCTCTCGGACAAAGATGCCAACAAGTATGTCGCCGGTGTAGCTTACCATTGGTACGCTCAGCATGCTGATAAGAAGATGTTGGATAGAATTGCCAAAAAGTATACGAACAAGTTTTTGCTATCTACGGAAGCATGTGAAGAGTGGCATGGCAAGAAGAATCACGTTATGCTAGGTCACTGGGCTACGTTTGACCGATATGCTGACGATATCATTAAGGTAGTCATTTAGGTAGTCTACTTATTCAATAATGTTTAAAACTTATAATTTTTCAGGATTTGCAACACAGTAGCAGCGGTTTTGTTGATTGGAACCTTGTGCTTGATTTAAATGGCGGAGTAAGTTTTTATATTTTTTGTATTTGGAAAATTTAACATATTTTTTAACCATTTTTCTAGCCAAACTGGGTTTCAAACTTTGGTAAGTATTTCAAACCAAATATATTCAAAAAATTTTAGCGTATTTTAACTATTTGTCTATTTGCAGTTGATGCACCAATCATCGTCAACGCAACCGCCGGCGAATACTATCGTCAACCATTTTTCTATGCCCTCGGTCACTTTAGTAAATTTTTAGTGCCAAACTCAGTTCGTCTTGAAAACGATGGCACATCTGACGCCGGTGACAGTGTTCAGGTGGTCATTTTCCAGAGACCCGACAAGTCAACAGTGCTTACTGTACTCAACAAAAACAATCACCCAATTATGTTGAAGCTACATGATCCGCTGCAAGGTTTTCTTGTCACCGACGTGATGGCCAACAGCTTAGAGTCACTCATTTGGTACTGAATGCCAAACAAATAACAAATGTTGGTTCAACAAATGGATTTTGTGTTTTTATAAAATAGATGGCAGTACGTTTGCTGTTGAAAAATAAAAATAAATAAAAGTAAATCATTTGTGATTAAAAACAAGCAAAGTTAATTGGTTTGTTTAAAAAATAAAACTATTGCTATTATAACATAGAAGCTAGTTTATTATTTTAATCTTAAAATAGATAAACAGTTAAATTGTTAAACGTGTTAAAAAACTTTCTTTTTAGACAAAGAGTTACCTTTAAAAATTTTTTATTAGCAGGCTTGATCAAATTATTGCTTTTAGTTAGGATCAGATTGTAAAAATTGCTTACAAGCTTTGCAAACATTAAATGCAGCATTATGTTTTGATGAATATTTTTTTCTTTTTCATTTCGTCCTTACTAATACTCAAACTCGTCAGGTTTTCAATTATCGGTTTTGCAGAAAACTGGTGCTTTCACCCTCCACTGAGAAAGAGCACTTTAAGGGTGGCTTTTCTTTTAGACAAAGACAAGGTGCAAAGATCAGTGCAATGGTGCAGTAGACAAGGTGCACTCCGAGGTGCATGGCCACTGCAGTGGACGGTCATGGCCGGCGCAGCTATTGATAGATTGCCTAAGTAAAAGTGCAAAGGTAAAGGAGGAGGTGGAGAGGGAGAAGTGAAATCGATTATGAGATGATGAGAAGGAAGACAGAAAACAGAAGAAGAGGAGGAGGAGGACACAGGGAGCACTTGGGTGCAGAGCAGGCGGTCAAAAACAGACAAACACTGGCAGACACTGACTGCTCTTCAATTACCGAGTCAAGTCAGCCTGCAGCACACACACACACACACACACACACACACATTCTCTCTTATTCTTTGGTGAGGTGCACGTCCCTGTCCTGAGCTTGCAGGCCACCCAGGCCATCAGTCACTTGGTGGCTACGCTTAAAAATGTGACTTTGCCAAAGACCACCACCACCACCACCACCATCAGCACTATCACTACCGGTGGCCAGAGTTACCCTCAACTGTGAGGTTTCTCCTTCAGCTGCCTCTGAGACATCTGCTTTTAGCTGCTGCTGCTGCTGCTGTTTTTAAACAAATGAAAGCTTTTGACACTTTTTGCGCAAAAACAAAGGGTCCTCATTGTTTTGAACAAAAAAAATAATGAAGTGCACGTCTGGCGTCAAGAATAAACTTGAATGTATTGGCTGAAAACAATAAATTTAAAATTTTAATTTTAATTTTTTTAATTTTTTTAAAATAAAAAAGTAGTTTATCTTAAGTGTTTTTATTGTTAAAATAAAATTTTAATTTAACACAAAAAACAAAGTTATTAAAAATTGCAAAAAATTAAATTTAATTTTAATTATGAACAGAACTTTTTTATAACAATTTATTTGTTGTGCAAAAATGATGGTTAATGAAAGGTAAAGTATTAAACGGAAAAATGAATTTTAAGTATGTTCCATTGACTGCCATTATAATCTTCCCTTGATTCAACAAAACTTAAATTAATCAAATTATCGTGCAAACACCCTACTAAAACTACACTAATTAGCATTGATCAACCGTGGCTGCCATCAAAAATGCAAATAACTATAATAAAAAATGAAAAAAAAGCATAGCCGCCTGATAACAATTATTAATCACCAAAAAGGGAGTTTAAAGGAAAAATATTTAGAAAATATGTTGAAATAGAGGAGTGCAAATTTGCGATTAAAGATGACAAGAATTTGACTGCATTTAACCGTAAAGATTTTTCATAATTTTTTAATTTTTAAAAATTAAAATTACCGCAACTGTTGATTAATTTCAAATCAAATCAAAAAATAAATTAATTTAGCGACAAATGAAAAATTAGCAAAGTTGCCGTATAATCGGTTCACATTCTTTCGTAATGATTTATCTGACAAGTAATAGGCTCGGCTGCCTTTTTGCGTTTTCACAGTTTAGTAGCGATTACTTGTGCTGATTACTGCCGCTACTGCAACTTTGTGACCCTCAGTTTGGCCGCAGTTTTTATCACACTTCTCACCTTTATGTTACAATCCCACATCAATATTTTTCTTTTTCATAATTTATATCCCTGTCAAATAATCTTTTTTTTTTGTTTTTAAACTAAAAAACTCATCGTTTGAAAATGTTTCAAGATGTTTTTTTCTGGATTGCTAAAAAATAGTGAAAAACATAAATTTGAAAAAAGTTAATCAAACTTCTGTGCGACGCTGGGGTTTTGCTCGTTTGCTCACACTAGCACAAATACATGTGTGTCCGCTCGTTTTACAAGTACATTTCATCAAGCAATTGCTAACCGAGCATGGAAAAATGGCAATGAGCCATTGCCAATGATTGTGTGACTTTCCTAGACTTGGGTGATGATTAATGGCAGGTTTGGGCTATCAACGTAAAAAAATCGCTTTAGTTTTGACTTGTTGTTTACCTAGTGGTGATCACCTTAGTTCACTCTAATGTTTGCTTCAACTTGGATGCAGGTACATGTGATGCTCCGACAATACCCAAATCAAGCATGACCAATTCTTGCGTTTCACTGCTAATTTTGCCTGAACAATATAAACCACTTTACATGTTTACCTTTTATTTTCACTGATCATGCACCGCACTTTTAAATCCTTATTTATTGTTTCTCAACCACCTATGTCAATATCGTAAATAACCTTAACATTAACTAATTACTACCTTTTGTGCCGCGTTTTTGTACCCTTCGTCTCCCCTTCTTTTTCGTCTTCTTTTTATGCAACTCTTTGCGCTCAAGTAGTAGCCACTTGTTCAGATCATGTTTTCTCAAGTGTTTTTGCTAATATTTGCACACCCAATTGTAGTGGATACTCCTGAGAGAACGACCACGGAACCGTGTCAAATCAGCTTTTTCTGACTTTTTTACCTTTGAGGTGTTTGCCAGCGTCTGAACAGGAGAGTGCTACACTCTCACTGACTTTCAATTGTAAAGTCAAGTTGAGACTCCCTCGTTTTTTTCGGTTGATGTCTCTGCAGGTGACACTGACAGTGACCGATTGGTTTTTGTTCTTTGGTAAAGAAAGAAGAATGAGAAAGAGAGAAAAAGCAAACACTCGATGAAAGCTCGTTAGACTTGTGAAAGCGCGTGCACTTTTCTCTTTTGTGGAAATTTTGTCTCGCAGACACTTCAAATCACCCTCAGCGGGAAGTGAAGGTGAGGAAATCATTTTTAATTTTCATTTGCACACGCAACCAGCAAAAATTAAAATGTAGTAAATTTCTAATTTAAATTAAAAATTGAATTTCAGATTAAAAATTTGTCCCAGATTAAGCAAATTATTCATTCAAATATAATGAACAAAAATTGCAAATCGGTGATGATCATTTAGAAAACCCTATTAATTAGCTAGCCTCACTTTTTTCTAGCAATTAAGCAATTAAAGCCAAAATGTTGTCGCCCATCATCATGCTTAGTTTGCTAATTAGTCATTGTTCTTCCTTTCTTCCTTTTTCCTCTGTCTCCTTGATTCACGTTGAATAATTTGTTTCCACTGCTATTTATATTGATTAGGAAAGAAGCTACAGCAATGAATAATTTTCAACAACAGTAATATTGGCAGTCAAAACAGCAGTCGTCTAGGTCACTAATTGCTAGGGCTAAACTCTGAAACTCAGACACACACACATACACAAAGACAGACTTTGTGACAGTGGACAGACACACACCGCCACTGAAAACAAAAACGCACAGGGCAGTTAAGGAAACAAAAAGGTATATTTGCATACATTGTGCATTGCTCATTGGACAGCAGCGGCAGCGGCAGCAAAGAAGCGCCCCACCGTAATCAGTTCCTTATTACGTGTTTACCGACCTGTCAATTGGCAGTGACAGTTGGCGGCAAGTGGGTCTACCGCGCGAGACTACAAGATTTATATCCCATTGGGTCGTTTGTTTGTTGGATAATGAGCTGAGCTGAGCTAAGCTGAGCTGCAGCCAGAACGCACACAAAACTGCCATTGCTCGGGCTTTGGCTCTAGTTGCCCTGTTGCGCATTTAGTGCTGTTCTTGTTGCCTGCTGCACACCTCGTTTAATTGTTGTTGGCCCAATGAATGCCAATGAGCGGCGATAAACTGTGTGCACCCTGACTTGGTCGTTCTTGCTAATAACAGACAGCACTGATCAATTCGAATGAACTGCTGCTGCTGCTGCTGTTGTTGTTGCCGCTTATCGGCACACCGTCTTTCCATCTTCCAAACAGTTCAACTGTCCTCTCTACAGCTTCTCTGAGCAACTGATGTCCATCTGATCTCACCTTTTCCGCCTGTCAGTTGAGCAGTAAATAATAATGATAATAATAATCATAGTAATACGCAAATAATCGCCAGCGTTGTCATCGTATTCTATGTGTGGCTCGATGTGGTAGGTTTATTTTTTTTAGGCTAGGTTTAATCTACTGCAGCCACAATTTTTCTTTTATCATGCACACTTGTGTTGATTTATGTTTATCACTGCTGAACATCAGTGTAGTAGAGAACAAACAAAAAATATTTTTATTGCTCATAATATCTGAAACAATTGAAAAAAAATTGCTAAAACTGTTTTGCAATAAAGGATTAAAGTGATGCAAAAATATAAAAAACTAAAAGAGTGGGAACACACAAGGGCATCATCACTTAAAAACAATGATTTAGTTTATGATTTCTCATTATAAAAAAATAAAAATTATGCAAACTTAGCGAAATTCTTTAGATCAAGTCAAAGACGAAACTGGCCAGAAAATACACAATCACCGTGTCCTCAATGTCCGCAGATTTCAACAGCATTTCAAACTTTGATCCGATCCTACAGCATCAAACAAAGCTGCCGCCTAGCTTGCACCTAGTCAGTGCCGAGTCGTTGTCATGTTCTGTCGAACGACCCTGCTCACTTCCTGCTGAGCACACTGCTGGAAATGTAAACTTTGCTTGATAATGATGATGATGATAGCAATGGCGATGGCGATAGAGACTCTCCCAGTCAGTCAGT